ATCTTTTTTATTTTACAATTAATGATCTCTTGTTGAAAAATGCCTAGTCAGCTTCTGATTGGTTCAAAATCAAAGATGGCTGAATCTTCTTATATGAGAAAATCGGAAACTCATGGAAACTCCTTGAATCTGATAAAATTGACATGTCCCTTACATTAGCTTTTGGATTGAAATTGTGGCTATTTTTGAAAATCTCCACTTGAAACGTCTGCAAACATAAAAAATAACTTCAAAAGTAGTCCTGGAAAATCCCATTTTTGTTCTTAAAAAGTACTTGAAAAGTCCTGGAATTTTGTAGTGAAAATATAGCACGAACCGGCACAGCGTTCAAAGCTTTTTTAAAAAGTTGTCAAAGGTCTAAAGTATCTATAGTTTACCCTTGATTAGATCTACAATTGCCACCCCCTCCCACTTTTAAAAAAAAAATGTACAGTGAGCCTCCTTCGCCCCAGTTTAAAAAAAAGCTTCAACCTCCCCTATTGAGTACATTACTTAAAAAGTTAATCAATTATATGTGAGACTTATGTGAGTAAGTTATATATTTGTGGATGGTTTAAGTATTGATTAAGATTAATGCATTGCTTTTAGCTACAACGACATCTGTCACAACAACAACCACAAAAAAGCCAGGTAAGGATAGAAACAATAAATCGATAATAGTTATTCGTAAGGTCAACTGGCATCTCTTATACGAGCTTTTCTTTCTCTTAAAATATAAACAAAAACTTCTGTCTCGCTTGTCTCGTCTGTCTTGCTTGTCTCGCTTGTCTTGTCTGTCTCGCTTGTCTTGCTTGTCTCGCAATGTCTTGTTTAATCTTTATTAGCGCTTTATGCTATATGAATGGATGTATAGCAAGATCGATCCTAAATCTGGGGAAGGGCCAGGATTTTCCATGCACCGCAAAAGGGGTGGGCCATGCAATTTCTGTGCAATGTTTTGACAATAACAGACACAATTGGGAAAATGACAGAATCAATCAATATAAAATAAAAAAGCTGTTACACATCTAAATGAAAAATAAGCATTTATTTCAATGACTTAAATTAGTTCATAACGGTTCTTTATGTTTGTTGAAGAAACGAATATATCAACTACAGGCTCGTAATGTCCTAAAGCATATAACCACGTGCGTACTAGTGGCCAGGAAATATTAACATATTCGGGTTTTTTTCCATACAATTGTCTTTGCTTACTTTCTCGCACCAAAAATTAAAATTCACATCAATTTGATGCCTTTTATATGCTCTCGATGCCCCTCAAAACGCTGGAAATCGCATCTCCAAGAGTTGCTATTTCAAAATTTCCTGGGGGAGTACCCCACACCCCCCTTATTACACCCGCCTTTAGCGGTCGTTAGCCCCGCAAAATATAAAATAAAAAAAAATAAAAAAAACATTTATAGTGATGTAAGCGACATCGATGATTACAAAACAAATGACGAAGAAGAAAAAATTGAACCCCTTTAAAACAAGAAGACTCTGATTAAAATTTGTTTATTGGGGTGGGTCCTACATTTTCGTGCTTGAACAACCGGGTGTTTCATGACATTTTATGCAAATGTATGGGTTGGGTAAGAGATAATTTATCATGACCACCATAAATTTTTCCACCCCCCTTCCCCCATCCTTTATGACCAGTCCCTTAAAGTGTTGTGTACGTTCATATTACGTTATTTGCATGCATTAGATGCATCTACCACTGCAACGATCACACGTCCTCCAGCAACTACAAGTATTAAGCCTGGTAAGATTAGAAATAAGTTTGTCTAAACAAGCAAAAGAAGGAGCTCAAATAAAATAGATGTATAGGGATTAAAATGGATGAAGAAGACAAAAGGAAGTTGTTTTTCTTAATGTTTATGCATAACATCCTGCCAAAGTCTTTAATGAAGTTAAAAAAAAGGGTTCGTGCCACCCCTTAAATCCTTGAAATGTCCTGAAATTGAAAACTCGGCGCTTGAAAAGCTCTTGAAAATTGGAGAAATCGCTAAAACTCCTGGAAAACTTCTTGAATCTGCTAAAATTGACATGTTGCTTGTTAGCTTTTGGATTGAAATGTGGCTATGCAGTTTGAAGATCGCCACTTAAAATGTCCGCAAACATCAAAAAATACCTTCAAGACTGTAGTCTTAGTGCTTAAAAATTCCTGAAATTTTATAGTGAAAATGTAGCACGAACCCTGATCGGAAGAGTGTTCAAAGCTTTTTTTAAAAGTTGTCAAAAGTCTAAAGTATCTCTAGTTTACCCTTGATTAGATCTACAATTGGCAGCCCCCTCCCACTTTAAAAAAAAATATGCAGTGAGCCTCTTTGCCCCAGGTTAAAAAAAACCCGCACCCGCCCCTAGTGAGTGCAGAGTTTTAACTAAAATCAAATTAGATTAATTAAAAACAGTTATATGTGAGTTATTTATATATTTGTGGATGATTAATTATTGATTAAGATTAATACACTGATTTTAGCTACAACGACATCTGTCACAACAACCACCACAAATAAGCCAGGTAAGGATAGAAACAATAAATCGATAATAGTTATTCGTARGGTCAACTAGCATCTCTTTTACGAGCTTTTCTTTAATTCTCTTTGAATATAATCAAGGAAACTTACTCTTTAGGAACTGCGCAATATTTATCAGGAGGGGGGGGGCAACATCTAATTTTATGTGCTTAAAGAAGGGGGGGCAACGTCTAAAATTAGCTGGAACTTTAACTAGAAACTGAAAAATCAACGGTGTCAGCTTCGAAATATACTCAAGAAAAGCGTGCCACGATATGCGGCAAGTCTTTGCTCACGAATAATTTTAATTGTATTTTTTTGATACATTTAACAATATAAATTTGATGTCGAAAGATGTGTCAAGTTTGTCGGCCATGGCAAGTTAAGATAGTACAAAATAAATTATTAAGGACTTACATGTAAGTGTATCCAAGGGGATTGGCTAATCATCGAGTTAGAGGTTGAGTTGAGTTTGAGTTGAGTTTGAGTTAACATTGAGTTAACATTGAGTTAGCTAAAATATGAAATAACAACTTTAAAAATCAAAATAATTTTAATACATGCAATAAAACTGTATAGAAAGACCTAAGTTATAGACTTAAGTTACGTAATTCAAAAACGAATAAAAAACGCATTTCACGTAATCAAATTATAACAACTTTACCTTATATCCTAGCAAATGTAGACAGTTTCTTTCAATGTCATCAGCTTTAGTTAGATTAATTCTTAGCATAATTCCACTTAATACTTGTACGTTTGACTCCTAATAAATGTAAATAACTGTAAAAAAAGACACAGACTGGCCGATAGTCTGGCCGCCATGTTTTATTCAACACAGGAATCCCATTATTTTCGGTGTGTTGCAACACAGGAAGCCCATTTTTTGGAAAAAAAACGAAAACTATTTTTTTTGTCTTGAAAAGCGGGTATTCCACATTACGATAAATAAGAAATTCCCAACACAACTTTGATGCGAATCGGAGAGGAAAATAGATTGTGAAGTTTTTGTCTTACGTGGAACTTACACCTTTAACTTAAACCATCTTCTATTTTTTGGAAGTTGTGTTACAGCCTTGCGATAGACTCTTCATCAGAAGTACGATTTTATGTAGTGTATAATATAGCTTTTTGAAATTGTATATTTAGTTAAAATTATTCATTTTCAGCACAATTTTACACAATGAAAAAAACACACACACACATCAAAAATATTATCATACTGGCCGATACTCGCCATGAACGTTATCTCGAGTTATCACATGCGCTCCAAGAACCTACCGTATATTATTATTGGTCAAATATGCATATAGCGCAAACGCACTTAATCCGTGAAGCATAAATAGTACAAAATGGGTGCTGAATTATGATAATTACTTTGTTATCTATTGTCTCATCAACACTATTTACTAGTTATTAGTATCGAAATTAGAAATATTTGTTTCACGGATTTAGTGCGTCTACTCTATAATTGAATATGAATAATAATAAAAAAGCAAATCAAATATATTATGAGATAAATTCATGTTATAAGTATTATAAGTATTAAGTGGAATTATGCTAAGAATTAATCTAACTAAAGCTGACATTGAAAGAAACTGTCTACATTTATTGCTAGGATGTTATAATTTGATTATGTGAAATGCGTTTTTTATTCGTTTTTGAATTACGTAACTTAAGTCTATAACTTAGGTCTTTCTATACAGTTTTATTGCATGTATTAAAATTATTTTGATTTTTAAAGTTGTTATTTCATATTTTAGCTAACTCAATGTTAACTCAATGTTAACTCAAACTCAACTCAAACTCAACTCAACCTCTAACTCGATGATTATCCTATCTCGTATCCAAGAGCCTTAATTGTAATCGTTCATTTTGATTTTACAAATGATCTCTTGTTGAAAAGTGACTCGGGTTCTGATTGGTTCAAAATCAAAGATGGAGGAATCGCGCAAAGGTTCTTGGGTGGATATTGACCTTTAAACTCGTCCATTTAGTCGTGTCATTTAACAATTCACTATAATGATGTTTTAGGTACAACAACGCCTCCAGCAGTCACCCAAATATGGGATAAAGTGATTGGCGGATGGCTTGGGGAAAAAATCAGTTTCATTGTTGTCGTGTCAGCTGTGGCATTGTGTCTCATACTTCTGCTAGCACTTATCATCACATGTGTAAGTATCAAAAGGCATGATATTGTACTCAGTGGCGGATCCAGGGGGGTTCCATGGGGGATTCCTAGGAACCCCATCAAGCATAAAAACAATAAAAAATAATATAAATGATAAATGAAATATAATGAAAACGTATCGTACAATGAATTTTTATTAAATACATTCACGGTACATTTGCTACAGTTCGAGAGGCACAGTAAAAAAGGTTCGTTTGAGGAAAATGCGAAAACAAAATGGAACCCCCCTTTGAAAAATCCTGGATCCGCCACTGGTACTATGCTTCCATAATGTTTTGAAGATGCATTTAAATATCTTTATGCGTAAGAAGAATACAGCTGTTTGCAATAATTCTGACCCCCTCTGCCATATTTCATATATATCAAACTGACCTTTAATATTATGGGATATCATGACTGATATATTTTTTGAGTTGTCCAGAATGAGTACTTTCTAAAAAAAATATCAGCAATGGTATCCCATAATTTCTAAGACTATTTTGATATATATGAATATTAGTGTAGGGGGGTCAGAATTATTGCAAACAGCTGTATACAATAAAAATACGGTTATCAATATTTACAATAAGAAAGAAAAAAATATTAAACGTTTTCGGCTAATGTCATCATCAGAGAATGATGAGGAAATTAGTCGAAAACGTTTAATGTTATTTCTTTCTTATTGTAGATATTGATAACCTTGTTTTTATTGTAAATATCTTTATATTATAGCGCAATTCTAACACGCGCGCTGATTGGCGGATTTCATGAGAAAAAACTATGGTTTATTTCGCCGTAATGAAAGATTGTGAACAGATCTATGAAGTCAAAGTCGTATGGAAATCACGACAAATCTTTTGCGGCCTTGATTTTCCATTGTGTTTACCTTATGAATTATTATATATATAAGTTTTTTTAGTTTGCTGAAGAAGGCCGAAGTGCCGAAACGTTCTAATAAAGCCGGAGTAGAAATAACAGTTGCAAGTTGTGTGCCTTTTTCTTCAATTTATTCAATTGATAAGTTTTTTTAAATGTACGTTTTTTCCAATCAATTCGCGCGTTGCAAAGTAGCTATTTTATTAGCTGCTGTTATCATAATACTTTACCTTTCAGTGCCAGTATCACAAACTCAAGAAAAAAACTAAGTTCCCTAAAGATCTGATAATCAATAACGACAGTGCGTGGATCAATAGCAACGACGATTTGTTGATGTGGGAACGTAACTTGCGCGCCACGGAAGTCAACGCCGCACCGCCTACGGCACCAGCCAATGATAAGCGACAATAGARAYTATCACGAACATGATTATAAGCTAGGTAAGTTGTCATGATRGACTTTGAACCAATATTGGTGCTATCRTTTGAGTACAGCCTCTGGTACCCAGGGTAGCCAAGAGGGATTCCAAAGAGTCAAAATGGCACCTAAGAAGGAGTCTATGTTATCCATGTTTAATTCTTATGCATCAGTCATTGTAGTTGAAATCCCGGTCCCCTAACCTACGGAGAGGGCATGGGAAGCAACACTATAGCTGATGATTTACACCAAAATACTTCTATCCAAATGTCACCATAAAACGAAGTCAGATGGTTGACAACTCTAATATTAGCGTTTAAAATTGAAAAGTGAGATGGTCAAAGAATCGAATCGCACAGTAC